TTTAAAGTAGTCCTCGAGCACAGTGCCCCCGATGTAGCCCCAGGTCATCGAGTCCTTGACCCTGAGCAGGTCATCCAAGCTGCTGACCGCGTTCTCGATCTTCGGGAAGGTCAAGAAGGCGACGAGGTTCCCGGAGTACGTGGTGACGACAATAAGGACGAAAATCCACCAGAAACCCACAACCAGACGACCCGAATTGCTGAGGGGGAGTTTGGTGCCGCCTGTGGTGACGGGGGTAAGGTGGGGGGGGATGTAGGGGTGAAGGAGGGGGGAGGTAATGGGGAGATAAAGATGGGAGGAGGGAAAAGTAAAGAGTCTGGAGATTAGTGTTTTTAAATGATTGTTTATTCTAATGTCTCGTGTTTTTTTTTTTCTCACGTATATAATTTGCTATTTAGACATAATTGTACCCAGGAGACAAAAAAGAATACATTGTTTTACAAGTGTCTGTGTGTTGTATGTATGTATGTATGAATATCTACCCTCTCCCTACCTCCCTACTTACCAACCTACCTATCTACTTTCTCACCAACCCTCCAACCCACTTTCCTTCCCCCCTTCCCTATATTCTTAAGTTACGGTTAGACTACCTATAAATTCGTGAAATCCAGCGATTTTTAATGGAATTTGCCCATTGATGGACTCAATCCAGTGGACTTTCGCTCACACGTTCGATGCGATGGATACCTACTCGTCCATTGATGAACGAATGGAAAAATTGCGCACGTTGAGAATTTATGGTGTGCATGGTATGCATATATTTTTATTTCAAAGCATAATATTATTTCATATTTTTAATTATTCAGAATTATTCACATTTATTTTTTACCTCAATATTTACATTCAAAGTTAAGATAAAATACGAAAAAAGTAAAAATTAAAACATTGACCATGGATTCTCATTTGACTGTCGAATATAAACAAACGTGTAGCCGCCAATTTCAAGTTGAAACCACAGATCCCGTGAATATTCGAAATGTGGAATTCTGAAGTCATTTATTCATTCCTATAAAAGGTTAGAACTCCATAAACATGAAAGAGTAGCAAGAGTTAGGGAGATTGTGGGATCCATAACGAGTTTCAGCGGTGACGATTTGTTTGGATGCCGCGATTCCACTGAACAAAGCCGATGGTTCTTTTCGCAGTGTGAACACCACGGATGGGTGGGTCGGTTCCAGCCCACAGAAAATCGCCGGATTCCAGTGAAATTTATGGGTAGTCTGACCGTACCTTTACCCATTCACCCACATTTCCTATCTTCCTCCCTTCTTTCCACTCACCAACCCTCCCTTCCTCCCCCTATCCCCCACCCCCCTTCCCTTCCCTTTCCCCATCCCTCCCTCCCCCCCCTCTCCCTCCCTTCCCTCTCTCCCTCCCTCCTCCCTCTCTCCCTCCCTCTCCCCTCTCTCCCTCCCTGCCCTCTCTCCCTCCCTCCCTCCCCTCCCTCCCTCCCCTCTCCCTCCTTCCCACCTTCCCACACCCTTCCCCCAAACTCACCTTGCTGCAAGATGGCTCCGAAGACATACCACGAGCAGTCCTGGAGTCTGAAGAGGCCTTTGCCGTCGTAGAGGCCGTAGTACGAGTAGAAAGGGGAGTTCCGGTTGATGAGGAAGAGAATAGGGCCCATGACCAGTACTGTGATGGCGATGAGGATCCAGGTCTGAGGGAGAGGAGGGAGCGATGGTCAAGTGAAAGGGGTGAAATGATGGAGGAAGGAGAGAGACAAAAAGGAAAGAGAGGAAGGGAGGGAGGAAGAGGAGGAATGATGGAGAAAAAGGAAGGAAAAGAGAGGAAAGAGGAATAATGGAGAAAAAGGAAGGAGAGAGACAAAAAGGAAAAGAGAGGAAGGGAGAGGAGGATTGATAGAGAAAGAGGAAGGAGAGAGACAAAAGGGAAAGAGAGAGAGAGAGGAATGATGGAGAAAAAGGAAGGAGAGAGACAAAAAGGAAAAAGAGAAAGAAGGGAGAGGGAGAGGAATGATGGAGAAAAAGGAAGGAGAAAGACAAAAGGGAAAGAGAGAGGAGAAATGATGGACAAAAAGGAAGGAGAGAAAGAGGGAGGGAAAAGAGGAATGATGGAGAAATATGAAGGAAAGAGAGAGAGAGGGAGGAAAAATTATGGAGAAAAAGGAAGGAGAGAGACAAAATAGAAAGCGACAAAGAGGGGAGAGAAAGGTAGGAAAAAACAGAGAAAGAACAAGATGGAGAAAATGAGACAAAGAATAAGGATGAGAGAGGGGGAAATAAAGAAAGAATGGCGCATGAGAGGAAGGGTATGAAATAGAGAAAAAAGAGGAGGAGAAGGAGAAGGGAAATAAGGTGGGGAAATCGGAAAGGGCAAGAGAAGAAGAGAGAAAGGGAAAGGTGAAATAGGCGAGCGAGAGAGCGAAATAGAGAAAGAAAACGAGAGAGAGAAAGATAGTAATAGAAAAAAAACGAGGAAAAAAAGGTCGAGAGAAAGGAGTGAGGCAGGGTGAAGGAGAGAAAGCGAAAGGAAAAGT